GCATAAGCAAACCAAAAACTTAATGAAATTCCCTAAGAAACAACTTAATGAAGGGTGCATAGCAACCTCTAGTTGAAAATTTTGACCCATCATAGTCCTCGTACTGATCATGATGATGAATCCTTGAATCAACAAAACCCTTTGGGCTTGACATCGATCTACCTCGTGCCAGAAATTTCTTCGGTGTTACTGGGGAAGATGGCACTGAATAGTATGTTGTTGAATACGCTGATGACGACGAAGAAGAAGAAGATGAAGGAGATGCTGATGAAAAGGCTGGTGCTGATGATGGGGTTGATGCTTTTCTTGAAATAGTACTAGAACTACGCATTTTGGGGAAAATATTGTGTAAAAGAAGAGACCTTTTTGAGTTCTTTTTCCTTGAGTGTATTTTCGGGGAATCGTAAAAATATGAAGGTGGGGGTGTAAGAGGAGGTAGCGACTAGGGTTTCGGTGGAACTTGGCTTTAGGAGTACCTGGTTGAGATTCCCAAGTGAATGGAACTGAAACAAAGGCAGAGGCTCCTCCATGGTATTGATATTCAAGTGCTGATGAGAAGTCAGCCATAAATTCTTGTTTGGGTGCTTAGAGAGCTTGTCGTGCTTGGGGTTGAAGCAATCGTTCGCTTCAGTTTTAATTAAAAGTGTCTTACTAACACCCTAGATATATATGTATGCATGGGGCAGAGTGGAACAATCTCATGCCTCTTTTGAAGGATCGATTTGTGCATTCAAATTGTCTGCATGTGTGTGTCTAACATGCTGATGTATGACTTCGATTAGTTTTTCTTATATAAAAATAGGAGGGGCTTGAAAAATTTGTTAGTGGAATATAAAATTATAATTTTATGGATTGATAGTTATATAATTGACCATGACTGGCCAACTAACATATTACATACATAAAAATAATAATAATAAAAGATTAATTCCAGGTTTAGTTTTCATCATTAGTTATAATCTAGATTTAGATCGCTACCGCACGCACATTAACTAAAAGCCCAGTCAACCGTCTAGGTTTGCTAAATCAACTGCTAATTAATTATGTTAGATTTTTTTTTTCTTATATATAAACCAAATTAATCAAATGTTCATTTTTAATGGTTTATAGGGTTTTTTTTATTAGCACTCACATATTGTTAAAGACACTCCACATAAATATTTATTTTTAAATCACTTATGTATCTTAACATGAAATGACTATTTAGCCCCAAATAATTTAAAAGAAATTGAACACACAAATTATTTACTAATATGAACCCTAACTCTAAATTGGTTGACTAAACTTGAACCCTAAAATCCTAAAACCCCTAATTGGAAAAAACCCCCAAATTGATAGAAACCTAAACCCTAAATATAAATAAAAAAATGTTACGAATTTGTAACCAGATGTACTTCATTATGGATTTTGTAAGAACTACAACATTTTTTTGTTATCAAAATCTATAACTATCCAAAACAAATTTTCGATTTCTCAAAAAAAAAAAAAAAAAAAAAAGAACAAACCATTATAATATAAACAAATTTTTCTCTAAGTGGTAAGCTTAGCAGTTGGCACTACTTTCTTTTAAGTTTTGTACCGTAAAAAGAATTGAACCCATTATAATTTTGGAAAAAAAAAAAATTCACCCATGTCCTATCATTCTTTTTTGGGTCAAAATTTTGTGAGATTGACTCTAGAGGAGTAAGAGAGAGGGATACAAATTTTGGATTTGTGCTCTACCATTAAAATAAACCAACAAACGAATGTTATGTAGTCAACCTCATAATTAGCATTTACATGTTTAGCGAGAGTCTTGAAATTTGGAGGTGTGGTGAAAATGAACAATGAGAGAATATTGAATGTATGTGAAGAATGTGGGGTGCATGTAGAAAGTTTGGGATGTGAGGGTAGTATAGAAAAGTATGTGGGGGTGTACTAAGATAAATTTTGATTGAAAAAGTAGATGTAGGGTGTATTTAGTATGTGAGGTGTGTTCAACAATATGTGGGGTGTTAATAAAACAACTCAGTAGATGATGTTTTATTGTAGTGACAGAAAGCAATAATATTTATGCACCTTAGTGAGGATACAATTTTCACTGATCCTTCTCCCTCCTAACATTTAACAATTTTGACGCACTAACTTCATCGTTGGTAAAATAAAAAATAAAAAAAGGTTTATACTAATGTAACTGTGTTAACAAGTCAGCTCAAATATACGTATTGTATACAGCAACTTGCTTACTCCTTTTCGCTTTCATCTCATCAAAAGAGGTATGACCATCATTTTAATGCCTTTGTTTTGGCTTGCCCTCTGCCCTTTTGGCTGTTTTGTTTCTCGACTCTTGCCTTTGTGCCCTTTTATGAAAATATTTTTCGATACAAACAACTTGGAGCATGCAATAACGAACACATGACCTCTTATGCAAAAAATGTACTTAATTGCTTAAGTTACGAGCCCTTCGTATATTTGCAATTAGTTTAAGCTTGATAACCATGTGCTTAACCATTAAAAAATGCATTTATATAACTTCAACCAATCCATTGCAGAATTTATGCAGATGCAGTAGAGGCTTGAACCTTAAAGCCAGGTACGTCCAGGTGCGATCCATTTGCCTCACTCACCGAATTGCTCATTTTCTTTAATTCTGAATAGATTAATATATTAAAGACCCTAGAAATTTAATCATCGTTTAAGTATCGTAGTGGCCTTTTGCGAATTTTTTGAGACATTTTCCTACTATTATTGCCCTATGAGCGGCGACTTCGGCGATCTGTTGATCAATCTTAGTCTGCTAAAATCTACTATTATTTAAGATTGCCCACATAATTAAAAAATATAGGCATATTGATTTTAATTATTTAGTCAATTTATTTGAATTGACATACATTTAAACAATTTCAAGTCCTTATTTTCTAACAGTTTAAAATTATTCGAGAATATTTTTAGATCTTGGAAGTTGCTTTGTAAGATGCATGGGTTGAGTTAATAAGCCTCTATTGACAAGTTGGATTGATAAGCACCTAAGGAAGCTTTGTGCTGAACAAGTTTGAACTTGCGTTTAATTATGTAGTAATTAATCTTCCTCAATTACATCAAACTACTACGATTGATAATTGTCATGTTTACAAGAACCATGGAGAAGTCGGTGTCTAAATAATAAGAGGGAACCGACGGGTCTAATGTTTTTTGACCAAAAGATATTATTTACACTAAGGTGGATGAGAGTGGTTTTAGCCTCATAATGGACTAGTAATATTGTAGTTCAAATTCGCCTTTGACGAGAATCGAATCAAAGACCTCTTACTTACAAATGAAGAAGAATACTACTAGACCGTAGTACTAATTGACCCGACCGGTGTTTACCAAACAGTTTTCGATGCTTTATTGACTCAGCACACCTAAAAAAAAAAAAAAAAAGTTACGTGGCGAAATGATCAAACAACTTAGATCAACAAAAAAATTACGGAGACCATTCAATGCCGCAGGCCCGCAGCTGACCATTCACGGCTTGTTCTACACACCTGCAACTGGTCCCCGACCTTTTCCATCCCCCTTCCTCATTGAACAACCATGCAAAAAATTTGTAAGGGTTTTGGGTTTTAGGTGGTAATTATAATTGGATTTAGAGGCCATATAAATCTATCCAGTTGAGTTTTCTGCTATGGTTGAATTTTTTTATTTATAAAAACTGTAATTTATGAATTGAATGGTCAAATTTTGGGTATAAACGATAAAAATCTCTAATTAACAATGAAAGACAAATGGAATCCTAAATTGACTAATTTGTGAGAGGAACCTCATTCTCTTCTTGAAAAATATGACCAATGAGAAACCACCATGTGCTGTAAAAAGGAATGGCAATTTTTCCAACGTCCAAAGCATCCACGGAAGAGAGAATGAGCCAAAAGAAACATAATATATCACATTGAAAGAGTCACTAGTTTCAAGCAACATAGTTTACCAACCCCACGGATGCCCCAACTCCACAGCAAGGATGGACATCATGAAGCTCCACATAGAAAGAAGTAGGATGCCTCCAAACTTTGAGAGAAATCACCACGAAACTAACCTGCGAAGTTTCGAAAGCCCCCACCGCAAGTCGCAGAATCTAGGTTACCCTCAACGAGCCCATCTGTATTCACTTTGACCCAAGCATACAGAGAAGGATGCCAAAGAATGGAAACAATAGAAGGAGCTCTAAACAACTCAGCTAAAATCCCTGACATGACCGAAAGAAGGCTCCAAAACCTCTAATCGAAGCCAAAGTAGAACGACATATGTGTAAAAGGGAAAGAGGGTCATTTTCTTCATTTTATTACGCATCTTCTAGATAGCCATTAGCAAGAAAAACCTCGAAGCAACCCAAATATTTAAGATCTGTGGAGAAAATGTTTTGATATAAAAGAGAGTCAGAGATTTGAAATAGAGCTAGTAAGTACAAAACAGTGCCAAATTTAGCAGCAAATAAAAGCCAAGCATGTTATGCAAACTCACAACTAATAAATATGTGATCAATGGATTCTGAGTTGCAGTAACATAATTGGCAGATTGGTACCAAAGGAGTACATTTACGTTGTAGTTGATCCTATGTTGTGTTAGCGTGAGTCAATATTAGGAAAAATAGGGAATGTAAATAATATGAGTCCTTTATTAAGTAGGTTTGTGTATATGTTATTTGTTTCCTTGTAAAACTATAATAGTACTGATGTATATATATTTCTAAACAAGTAATACAAGAAAATATTCCTTAAAAGTTCTATTGTGAGCACCGTCTTAGAACGTGTTCAACCTCTTCACTCACCTGAAAACAAATCCAAATCAAATTAGAGATGGCTTTAATTTAGAAAATATCAATATAACTTGGATCGTTTCGATTAAAGGGTACTAGTACATAAACTAGCCCTTAAAAAAAGTTAAAATCTCGCTACATATATTATATATATGATTTTGCAAGATTTTCAAGAGAAAATATAGCTAGGGTTTACGTACCACTCTCCTAAGCAGAGGCTCGAGGGATGAGAAAAGGTTTTGCATCGAGTTCACCAAAACCACTTCTCCGATCACACTGTCAAGAATCTGTTAAACCCAAGTGTTTGTCGAATGAGAACTTTGTAAGCTGGGAGGATGATGAGATGGTTGCGGAGGATGATGACAGGGAAGTGTTGCAGGAGATTATCAACAATACCAAGCTAAGTGAAGGTTATCTTAATCTTGCTCGTGATATTGAGGTCATGGAGGCCAAAACTCCAGAGGATATCTACAAGGCACACTTACTTGATGGCCGTGCAAGTGCTGGTGCTAGTGTTGATTCAGCAAGACAGAACTTGGCTGCAACATTTGTTAACGCTTTTGTAAATGCTGGATTTGGTCAGGATAAGTTGATGACAGTCCCATCAGATGCTTCAAGTGGAGGCTCTTCAGGAAACTGGCTTTTCAAGAATAAAGAGCATGGGAAGACCAGTGCTGCAGCAAGTCTGGGTATGATTTTATTGTGGGACGTTGACTCTGGACTCGCCCAAATTGACAAATACTTCCACAGCAACGATACCCATGTTATTGCTGGTGCATTATTAGGGGTTGGGATTGTTAATTGCGGTATCAAGAATGATTGTGATCCTGCGCTGGCACTTCTTGGCGAGTACATTGATAGAGAGGATCCATCTATCCGGATTGGTGCTATAATGGGCCTTGGGATTGCATATGCTGGTTCTCAGAATGAGCAGATACGTAGTAAGCTGACTCCTATACTTAATGATGCAAAAGCCCCCCTTGACGTGGTTGCATTTACTGCAATCTCGTTGGGGTTGGTATACGTTGGTTCCTGCAATGAAGATGTTGCTCAGGCAATCATATTTGCACTAATGGATCGAAGTGACTCTGAGTTGGGGGAGCCCCTTGCTCGGTTGATTCCCCTCAGCCTTGGACTTCTGTTCCTTGGGAAGCAGGAAAGTGTGGAGGCCACTGCCGAAGTTTCAAAGACATTTAATGAAAAAATAAGAAAGCATTGTGATATGACTTTGCTTTCTTGTGCTTATGCAGGAACAGGCAATGTTCTTAAGGTCCAAAACCTTCTCGGTCATTGTTCACAACATCTTGAGAAGAATGAAACTCACCAGGGACCCGCAGTTCTTGGAATTGCTATGATATCAATGGCTGATAGCCTGTGCCTGGAGTCACTCTTGCTCCAAGCATAAACTTTCTGCTCCTAATCCAGCTCGAATTATCCGTAAACTCGATCTCCCCAACAGTCGCAAACCCGTCTCTAGCCGTAACATTTACATCCCCGGTAAGCAATGGCCTCTTGCCAGTTCTCTCCCTCAAGACGTTGTTATCAAATTCTTCGCTCGTCCAATTGTCGCTGTCTCCCTTCGGGAAGTCCCCGTCGAGAACAACAATTTCGACTTTGATTGGATTCGGATGATTGATTGGCACCATTTGATTAGCTCCACTACTTTTATCCACGACCAAGATTTGAATTGGGTTGTTGTCTTCATCGGATATCTTGCTTGCAGTGAAGATTGGGAGTGAAAGGCTCTTAGCAAAGACAAGTTGTAAGCTGGATTGTTCTAGGGTTTGGATTCTCAGCGATGGTTGCCTTGCCAATGAGTGCATGTGTGCAGTCTGTTAGCGTGAGTCAATATTAGGAAAAATAGGGAATGTAAATAATAGGAGTCCTTTATTAAGTAGGTTTGTGTATATGTTATTTGTTTCCTTGTAAAACTATAATAGTACTGATGTATATATATTTCTAAACAAGTAATACAAGAAAATATTCCGTAAAAGTTCTATTTGGTATCAAGAGCGCCGAAACCCTAGTTTTTCCGCTGTGCTTGGGTGACTATTTTTCTGCAAATTTTCTGCAGAAAACAGTGGTACCGTGTGTGGTATTGCTGCTTGCTGCGTGTGTACCGTGTGCAGCAGTGCAGTGTAGTTTTTTTTGCAGTGTTTTTCTGCAATTTTTCTGCAGCAAACAGTGTTGCTGTGTGTGTGAAAACAGGGTTGCCGTGTGGGTGTGGTACTGCTGTGTGTGCAATCTGTTGCTGTATATTGCTGTGCAGCACAATACCTTGCTGCTGCTGTGAGAGTTGTGTACAAATTGCTGTGTTTTTCTGCAATTGTACTGTGTATGTTGCTGCTGCCGTGTGTGTGTGTTGCTGCCAAGACTTAGTGTGCCGTGTTGTTGCTTTCGTAAAGGGAAACACACAGCAATTTTTTCCCGCTGCATCCTTGCAGCAAAGTCAATTACTTGCTGCGTGCTACTGTGTATTGCGTGCTGCTGGTGTCGTGAGGAACGAAGGAGAACAAAGACTGCAGGAAGAGACAACTGTTGCGTGTGTGTTGTGTGTTTTTTGTTGCAGCGTATTGTGTCTTTGCTGCTGTACTTATTGCAGCAACTGTGTCGTGTATTATATTTCGTATTGTGCCTCGTGGGAATATTGCTCTACTGTTGCAATTTGCTTGCTGTCTGTTTTGCCGTGGGTAATTGCCGTGAGTGGTTGCTGCTTGTTTGTTTTTGCAACTTGTGGTTCCGTAATTGGTAGGGTGCTGTGATTGCCGTGTACTTGTGATTGTCATTTTTGCATATTATTAAATGGCAAATACAGGTTGGATTTTAGATTCTGGTGCAACGGATCATATGACATATGATAAAAATATGTTTCAATACATGACCACATCTCACAGGAAAAATATATCAACTGCCAATGGTACTTTGGCACCCGTGTGTGGTGCCGGCACTGTGCATCTTACCCCTACACTTCCCCTACATCATTGCTTGCTTGTTCCTTCTTTATCCCATCATCTGTTATCCATACCACAGGTTACTGAACAATTGGATTGTGTTGTTCTAATGTATCCATCATTTTGTCTCCTTCAGGATATTCAGACCAATGAGATAATTGGGCGTGGCACTAAGAGAGAGGGGTTGTACTATGTGGACGACGTCGTTTCTGGCAGAGCTAATGCGGTTCGAGCGTCCCAGTCTAGTAATTTACAAGAAGTGTGGTTGTTGCATCGTCGGTTAGGGCATGCATCTTTTGGGTATTTACGACGTATGTTACCTAATCTATTTAGTGGAATAAATGAATCAGACTTACATTGTGAAGTATGTATTCTTGCTAAAAGCCATCGGGCTTCGTTTCCTCCTAGTATGAATAAAAGAGCTTTACCGTTTGAACTTGTGCACTCTGATGTTTGGGGACCATCTCCTGTTGTTACTTCTTCTGGGATTCAGTGGTTTGTTACGTTTGTTGATGATTGCACTCGTATGACGTGGTTATATGTGGTGAAAAATAAGAGTGATGTTGGTATGGTATTCCGAACCTTTTCTCAAATGATTCGGACACAATACTTATCTGTAATTAAAGTTCTTCGTTCTGATAATGGTGGTGAGTATCTTAATTGTGAGTTGTCGGAGTTTCTTTGTGATCAAGGCATTCTCCATGAAACAACCTGTCCCTATACTCCACAGCAAAATGGAGTGGCTGAACGAAAAAATTGCCATATCTTAGAAACGGCACGTGCTCTACTTCTGGGCGCATCTATTCCTAAGATTTTTTGGCCTGAAGCAGTTACTTATGCGGTCTACGTGATTAATCGTATGCCCTCTCGGGTGATTGACTTTCGAACTCCTCTTCAAGTTCTCACTCAACATGTTCAGGTGATGTCTACTCATACTCTCAAGCCCCGGGTATTTGGTTGTGTGGCTTATGTGCATATTCCAAAAATTCATCGCACTAAGTTGGATCCGTGTGCCCTTCGATGTGTGTTTGTTGGTTTCTCATCTCACCAAAAAGGATATAAATGTTATCACCCTGAGACTCGGCATATGTATGTTACTATGGATGTGACCTTTTCTGAATCGGAGTTTTTTTATGCCCCCGTATCTTCATCTTCAGATCACCAGGGGGAGAGCTCTAGTGGTGATCTGGAATGGTTGGACTTGGGAGAAATACTGTGGTTGATGTTGAGGCCGTGCATGCTGGTGCCGTGCCTAATGCGGCAGTGATCATACATGCTGTGCCAGAAAATACTGTGGTTGATGTTGAGGCCGTGCATGCTGGTGCCGTGCCTAATTCGGCAGTGATCATACATGCTGTGCCAGAAGTTGCTGCCGAGAGCAGCATGCAATCAGAAGCAAAAGATGCCGAGAGTGATCCACAGTCAGGACAGTTCATTGTTGAGCCTACTTGTGTAACCCCCTCTCTCTAGCTCCACAGTGATGCCCAATGATTCTTCTCTGAATAAACCTGAGGTAAGTATTGTGGATGATTATGTAACTAATGCAAGTACTGATGTAAATACATATAAGCTGCCACCGAGACAAAATCGGGGTGTGCCACCTGACAGGTTTTCTCCGGAAGGCAAAGTAAAGTATCTGATAGCCAACTATGTCTCATGCAATGGTCTTGCACCAGAGCGTAAGACCTTGATAGACAATATGGAGGCTATTCGAGTACCAACTCGTGTGGATGAGGCTCTAAAGGATCCAAAGTGGGCAAATGCAATGGATGAAGAAATGTTGGCGTTACAGAAGAATAATACCTGGGAGGTGACGTCCTTGCCGGAGGGAAAAAAAAACAGTTGGATGCCGGTGGGTGTTTACTGTCAAATACAAAGCCGATGGATCAATAGACAGGTACAAAGCAAGGTTGGTAGCTAAAGGATACACCTAAACATATGGTGTAGATTATCAAGAGACGTTCTCTCCGGTTGCCAAGATGAATACGGTACGTGTTCTGATTTCTTTAGCTGCTAATATGGACTGGCCATTAAAACAGTTTGATGTGAAAAATGCTTTTCTCCATGGGAACTTGGAGGAAGAAGTATATATGGATTTTCCTCCTGGGTACAGTGTTGGTAGAAGTACCGAAGTATGCCGGTTGCGTAAGTCTCTTAATGGGCTGAAGCAATCGCCTCGTGCATGGTTTGATAGGTTTACTCAAGTTATGAAAAAGATTGGGTATTATCAGAGTCATTCTGATCATACATTGTTCGTTAAACGGAGACAGAAAAAAGTGACAGCCTTAATCATCTATGTAGATGACATGATTATTACTGGGGATGATTGTGATGAGATTTCAAGGCTGCAGAGAAATCTTGCGGCTGAGTTTGAAATGAACAACCTAGGGGATTTGAAGTATTTTCTTGGAGTCGAAGTTGCTCGATCTTCGAAAGGTATTTTCTTGTCACAACGTAAGTATGTTTTGGATTTGTTAAAAGAAACTGGTATGCTGGGATGTAAGCCAGTTGATACTCCTATTGTTGAAAAACATCATCTATGTTTGGATCCGAATCAGAAATCGGTTGATAAGGGGAGATATCAGAGACTTGTAGGGAGACTAATTTATTTGGCTCATACACGACCAGATATTGCCTATGCAGTAAGTGTAGTAAGTCAATTTATGCATTCACCGAGTGAAGATCATATGGCTGCTGTTATGCGTATCTTAGCTTATTTAAAGTCTGCACCTGGAAAAAGGAGTTCTCTATCGGAAGCATGGACATTTTAGGATTGAGGGGTTCACGGATGCTGATTGGGCAGGAAGTGTAGGTGACAGACGGTCTACTTCGGGATATTTTACTTTTGTAGGAGGCAATTTAGTCACATGGAGAAGTAAGAAACAGAAGGTAGTATCAAGATCCTCGGCTGAGGCCGAGTATCGAGGGATGGCTCACGGCATTTGTGAGATTCTCTGGCTTCGAAAGCTTCTTGAGGGGCTTGGGTTCAAGCCAAAGGAAACCATGAGACTATACTGTGATAATAAGTCAGCAAGAGATATAGCTGATAATCCGGTACAGCATGATAGGACAAAACATGTGGAAGTTGATCGACATTTTATTAAAGAGAAGCTTGAAAGGAAGATTGTGTCAATACCTTTTGTGAAGTCAGAGGAGCAACTTGCAGACGTTCTAACTCATGCATTATGTAGTCGAAGGTTTGATGACTCACTTGTCAAGTTGGGCATGTGTGATATCTATGCACCAACTTGAGGGGGAGTGTTAGCGTGAGTCAATATTAGGAAAAATAGGGAATGTAAATAATAGAAGTCCTTTATTAAGTAGGTTTGTGTATATGTTATTTGTTTCCTTGTAAAACTATAATAGTACTGATGTATATATATTTCTAAACAAGTAATACAAGAAAATATTCCGTAAAAGTTCTATTTGTTGGAGGCTTATTGAAAAGTATCTTAAAAAAAAATAAATAAAGCCCCAAAAAAAGGGTTTTTAAATCAACAAATGATGTTCCTTATCAATAGGAAGCGGTATTCATTTTCTCATACTAATAATGTTTGAGACTTGGTGCGAAATAGAGAAGCATTGAACTCGAGAACACTACCAATCTTTGAAACAGGTGTACCCAATCACTTATCAATCCAAAAGAGAGTTACTATAACGAGAATTTTGAAACAAAATAGGGAGAATAGATTAAGTTTTGATGCATTGAACAACCCTAATAAGCTTGAACAAAATGGAAATTAATTAGTTGCTAACATGCTTGGATGCCTCACTAACCAAGTAAATTAGTATTTCAGTTAAGGAACCCTTCCACATGGAATCTCACATGTAGATTGAAGCAATGCATAGTTGGAAACAAATTATTTTAGTCTCTCAAGAACTTGAATTGCCTTGATGTATTGGACTATTTTTCTATCTGATAAAACACTGTGCTTGCAGTTCTATTAGACAAAAAAAAATTGCACTGATTGGAATTGTTTGCATTGCATATGTGATGTGAGCTTCAAGTGCCAAAATTGGTTTTTGACACCTATTTTCCACCGCCAACCAAATCTCTCCATGCTTTTACCATTATCCTTAAAAATACCTTTCTTTCTGCATGTAATTATATAATAATAAGGATTCGAGCTAAAAATCAAATTATAATATGATAATTCCCAATATAAGGTTGTCGAATGAGAACGTTCTGGATTAGCATGACGCTGAGGTCCATTTATATTCAATTAATATATACAGAGTCATATTGATGCTCAATTTATTTTAAATTAATGCAAGTCAAATTACGTTTGGATTGTGCCACTTTCAATGAAGGAACCAAGGATTTTTTTCTTAAAAGAACAAAGACTGAGAAAAATTTGTGCTCGACCCAATCTGAATCTCTCAACATTCATATCCATAAAAAAAACATCGAAGAAAGATGCTAGGATACTTTGATGAGAGACATGAATTTTCAGAGGGAGCGATAACTTTCATTAGCTCTTATCTGATTCCGTCACTGCTCATTCTTTGATATTTTCTTTTAAATCATTTTCTCTGTACCGTCACATAAAAATTGAAATGTGTGTAGCAATTTTTCGTTGTTTTGACAAAGATCCTTTTGTATATGGGTGATCTTGTAAGTATCCTATCAATCTTTTTTTAGTAGCTGTTTATTATAGATAAGATTCGTTTGGAAGTGTCATTGAAATGATTGAAAGTGTTTTTTGTGAAATTGATTTTGTGTTTCAAAAACAAAGTGTTTTTTCAAAATCTACTTGAATTTTTACTACAGATTCTAAACACAAATCTTACCAACTTTATTTGAACAAGTGATATTATTTACCCTAAGGGGAGGGGGTGTCTTTTGCCTCACAATGAACCAGTAATAATGTGATTTAAATTCATTTTTAACGAGAATAGAAACGAAGTTTTTTTATTTACAAGTGAGGAATAACACAACTAAATCGTAATAGTAAGTGAAACAAATTTTACCAACTGAAAAAGTAAAATAAATGAAAAACCTACAAGTCCTAGCGTGTATACTGTATAGGTAGGCACACACGCACGACACAACCAACCTACTTTCCGCGCATGAAAATTTTTTTATTGTGATGGAATGACGGATGGTACATTATTTGTTTTTATAAAAGTGATGAGAAATTTTATTTGTTAAATTATTAATTTTTTAACATATATATCTTATCATTATATCACCTTATGTACCAGTCACACTGAAAAATCTCTTCCCGCGCATGGGTTCATACGTAGCCCGCACGTTCTGGCTTAACGGGTTTCTGGCAGAGGTAATATTACTTTTTTTTTTCTTTTTTTCTTTTTGGGTAAAGCCGTCCGGGTTATATAATTAATTAATATAAAAACCCAAGGGTTTACGTGATTATTTTTCAAGTAAAGTTTGATTTTAATATTTTGAATTCGAGCACCACATCATGCTTTTCTCTCTCTCCTTTTCTTCGTTGTTCCTCTGGTTTTGGGGGATCTCCATACCCAGGAGCTTCTCCTTCGTCAACAAAAAGGTATGATTTCCAATTTTCCTTTAATTTTATATATTGTTTTTCATAGTTTTTTTAGCTTTGAGAATTGATCGAAACATCTAGAGGGAATTGGAGTTCTCAATTGAGAATTTAAGCCGGATTAGTTTCGATCAAAAGAATATAGAAGAATTAATTGCTAGTTATTTCATTAAGATTTGTTGTTTTATAACATTTTTCTGGTTCCTCTGCTTAATCGGCGGGTTACTAATTTTGTTGTTGAATAAAAGTTTGAACTTTGAATCAGGGTGTGTTATCAATCTTTCGTCAAATTAGAGCTTTTTTGATGTATTATGTGTAATTGTTTCAAAGGTTTCGTTTCAATTCATGGAAATTGACAAAGATTGTAGCTTTTTCGTGTTTTAATCGCTGTCCTGTTTCTGACTTTGTAGGTTTGGCTTTACAAATTTGGGCTAAATTTTGGGTAATTGTGTGGAAGATCGTTGCGTTACGGTTTTTTTTTAGCATAATTCGTCATTACATTGGAAGCAAAAACCCGGGGAATGCTGAAAGATGTGCCTTTGCGCGCCGGACTCTGCCTCACAACTCCATGAGGGTGTGTCTATAATCGAACTGCCCTTCTTGATTCTTGCTGGTGAGGGACCTGTAAATCAAAGCTGGTTTGCTCTCGGATTCCTGAAGCAAGTTGGGCCTTCTTTTGTGCACACAGCGCCAGTTGTGTTAATGCATGACCATTGTGAAGGCGGTTGACGGTTGAGCTTCTTGTGGTATTATAAACTCCTGCACTGTATATTGTGGATCATATAGATCATAACCGCAGGAGGAAGTTGTGTACTATTTATTGTTTATTAGGTTTTGATTGGGATGGAGAATAAATCGCACGTACTGATGCAAAGATATGAGTTAGGGAGATTGTTGGGTCAAGGGACTTTTGCCAGGGTTCACTATGCAAGGAGCTTGATAACGAATCAGGGTGTGGCCATTAAGGTTATTGACAAAGAAAAGATTATGAAGGTTGGGTTGATGGATCAGATCAAGCGAGAAATATCTGTTATGAGACTGGTTAGACACCCTAATATTATACACCTCTATGAAGTCATGGCAACCAAAACTAAGATATACTTTGTCATTGAATATGCTAAAGGCGGTGAGCTATTTAACAAGGTTGCTAAAGGAAAGCTGAAGGAGGACGTTGCAAGGAAATATTTTTTGCAGCTAATCGATGCTCTTGATTTCTGTCATAGTAGGGGTGTTTATCATCGGGATATAAAACCAGAGAACTTGTTGCTCGATGAGAATGATAATTTGAAGATCTCTGATTTTGGGTTAAGTGCCCTCGCTGAAAGCATACGCCAAGATGGGCTACTCCACACCACCTGTGGTACTCCTGCCTACGTTGCTCCAGAAGTTATTAACAGGAGAGGCTACGATGGTGTGAAAGCTGATATTTGGTCTTGTGGAGTTGTCTTGTATGTCTTATTGGCAGGCTATCTACCATTTCATGATTCAAATTTGATGGAGATGTACCGGAAGATTGGGAAAGCAGAATTTAAATGCCCAAATTTTTTCTCACCGGAAGCACGTAGGCTACTGTACAGGATGTTGGATCCAAATCCCAATTCTAGGATTTCCATAGCCAAAGTTAGGGAGAGTTCTTGGTACAGAAAGGGACCATACTCCAAAAATATGAAATCTGAAATAGGAAACAAGGCTGTGGCTCGGACGAGTGCAGAAGCTTCTGGTTCCAGTGAGAATAGTATGGCTTCTGAGGAAAAGCAAGAACCAGGGAGACCTCCAAACATGAATGCTTTTGATATTATCTCCCTTTCTGCCGGGTTTGATCTGTCTGGCTTGTTTGAAAAAGATCCTTTTCACAGAGAAGCAAGATTCACTTCCAGACAACCTGCTACGGTCATCATCTCCAAGTTAGAAGAAATGGCTAAGCAACTGGAGCTGAAAGTGAAGAAGAAGGATGATGGATTGTTGAAAATTGATGGATTAAAGGAAGGTAGAAAGGGGATTTTGTCCATAGATGCAGAGATATTTGAAATCACTCCAACTTTTCATCTAGTCGAGGTGAAGAAATCAAGTGGGGATACATTGGAATTCCAGAAGATGTTGGACGACATAAGACCTGCTCTTAGAGACATAGTCTGGGTTTGGCAAGGCGAGGAAGAGCAACAACAGCAAGAAATCCCGCTGCAGCAACAAGAAGAACAGCATCCTCCACGATAGTAACAAGTTGCCGGCATTCCCATGGTATCTTATTTTTGTTTGTACATTTTACAGTCTGCTAAGTTTTCAACTTTATATTTCTGTCCTTGCAATTGTCGTGACCGTCTTAATAAACTTGTTCTTCTTCGTATATGTACATGACCACAATGATTATGATTGTATGAAACTCCGATTGTTGTTTGCGACATCGTTCTGCATTTTTTCCTGCAACCATGTTCTATCCATGAATTTCGTTACCTGTTCGACATCGATTTTCAGCTGGGTATGTGCCTCTACTGCATTCTCTTCTTTCTGAGACTACTAGTTGATTTAAGATTTAACTTTCAAAATAGTTGTAGAGTTAGGTTTACCAAAACCAAATTTCTGGTTGAATATTAAGTACGAGAGGGACGCTTTTCCTTTGTGTGCCCGTATGGAAAACCTTTTCTCCTGACCTGCTAGTCCAACTGCTTATCATATACTTCCAACTCCAAGCGTATTGACAGCAACTGGCAAACAAATTAGGTGGAAGTGTGGAATATCTAGCCATTAGGATACACCACATGTGGGACACAGATGTACATACTCAATGCTGATGTGTAGACTTACTAGTCTTGTAGACACGTGTCACAGTTTCAACGGGGAGAGAGGAGGAGATAACACTAGATCAGGGAGCTTTTTAGCTTACGATTATAATTATAGTGTATGGTCGCTATACACTTTATCATTTACCATGTCTTTTCACTTAACAGTAGTTTTTTTTTTTTTTTTTTTCAAAAATTGAAAAATGAACATTCAGTAGCATGTGGTCTAATTTCCTAGTAGATGGGATGTTTGGTTTCTACTCATGCATTCTAGGTTCGAAACTGCCCATCTTCTAAATTATTGTAATAGTTTCGAACATTTTCTCTCCCATTAATAATAATAATTTTCTTTAAAAAAAAAGAAAGAAAATGAACATTTAATATTAAAATTAACCAGAGTTAAGTGAAACGACACGTGACAAATGATGAGCATATACTATAGTTTGTAGTAGTGAGAAAAATTTCACTCCTACATCAGGGTGGAGTAAAATTCTCTCTCCTCCTATTCCCATCACCTTTCCTCCCCTTTTCTCACATATTGTTTTTTGTCTTATTGTCTCTATAAAAAAATCAATATAAGATGTTGACGTGGCTAAACCGTAACCGTTTAAATAGGAGAGAAGGGAAGGGGAGGGAATCCTCCTTCCATTAGGGTTTAGGGGGATGAACAAAAACAGACCGCTTGTATCTTGAGAAAGCACGTTGGAGGAAATATGGATAAGAAGGGTTAAGAGATCATATATTTATACCTTATTCGTGTATATTCACGTTTGTAAGTGATGCATAGAGTCAACATTCAATGAGATAAATTTATTAATTGATGTAACATGTACACATCATTTGCTATGATCCCCCTCCCTTTTTTTGGGCTTCAAATAAATATCACTTTTTTTTTTTTTAATCTAAATTGTGGAGAGAGGAATACGAACTCGGATGCCTAAGGTGAGCACATCATCTCTAGCTAATGTTGATGTCCTCACATCTATCATACCCAAGTAACCCCACTCACAATCGCTAAAACCAAAACAACCACAGAGAGAAGAAACAAACTCCACTTGTTCCTGTACGATCGAAAACACAAGAAAACACACAAAATTAATCACTTAACTCCATCTCTTCTTCTGGAGTTACCGTTACCTATGGAGAATCATTCCCTTGTGCCGTTGGGTTTTCGCCTCAAACCCACCGATCAAGAGTTCGTTGGCCACTTTCTCTACAGCTTTTTGGAGAACATACCGCTATTGCCGCCACACAACACCCTTATACATGAGTGCAACATCTTCGGCAACAAATCAGAACCCTCGGAGATTTGGGAAGCCTATGGAGGAACTCAACTTGCTCCGAGCTCAAGAGACTAAACCCTAAGGGTACCGCAAGAAATTAAACCTTAATTACCGCAAGAAGTTAAAGAATGAGCAGGTTTTGGAGATAGAAAGTAAAACAAACTCAAAATGTAAGGCAGCTAAAACCAGTTTGCAGTACTTGCAGATACCAAAGCAGGGCAGTACAAGTAGAAAGATTGCTATTCCGGTAAAAACTCAAAAGGTTGAATAAATATTAATTTGATCCCAATCAGTCACATGATTAAAGAATATCTGAACTTTAGGCGGAAAGAAAAGAAATGAAGAAACCTGGAGAGCAACGAGTCTTGTCAAACCATAGATTTCCCATGGACGCTTTGCCATTGTGCTCTCGCATTTGATGCTTATATTCACATTGAATCTGGATCAAATGGAAAATAGGAGTCATGAAAGGTACAATTACAAAGCAGCATCAGGAGATTAGTCCTAGATAATCTAAGAGGAAACTAATCCCCAGCACAAGAGAAGATACGATTGCAATAAGCAGCATCAGGAGATCATATATATATATTCAAGAATGAGAATGTTGGAACACGGAGAAAGAGACGCCGGCATTGGCCAAAACGACCCCGTCGCGATACTCCTCCTGTTCCCGGCATCGGACGAAGTTGATCTTTAAATTATAACAAAAGAAATCAACAATTTCAATTATGATGTTCATATTACAAAAGATATTCTGTTAACGAGGAAGGTGAACTATCCTTTTACAATGAATGAAGAAATTTAGTGGCATTCTTTTTCATTTGTAAGTAAGAGATCATACGTTCAGTTCTCGTCAAAAACAAATTTGAACCATATTATTATAACTAACCCTGTTGCTTATCCCACTCTTATCCTTCCTAATATTAAAAGAACGTAAAAAAATTTCATGTTCAATAACCTATAGCATGTCAAGTTCATTTTTGGTTAGATAGTGTAGATGTTTTAGTGTCAAACTTTTCAAGCTCGTTTATCAAAACAAAAAAAAAAAAAAAAAAATTCAAGCTCTATTAAAATAGGGGTATGCGGATTATTTTACTTCTCACACACCTCTTGATAATTCTGTTTATTTATTTTCTTCAATTCATCCAATCGGCCGAAAATTAAAAATGTGTGAAAATTAAAATGGGGTGTGTGGATATCACACCCCTTAAAATATTTCAAAATCTCAATTTAATATATATAAGGGAACTTTAACGAAAAGCTCCTAGTACTATTTATTTTAACGAAAAACCATATTTTTACACTAAAAAGTCAATCATGCTGTTATTCACTTTATCCTTTATTTTGTTCTTATTGTTTTTATCCAAAAAAAAAAAAAATTTCAAGCTTTATTAAAATATTTCAAAATCTAAATTTAATATATATATATGTATGTATGTATGTATGTATGTATGTATGTATGTATCTATTTGACGAACGATAGTGTGCTTGTGTTCACGGAGGATTGGACTATTAAAATGCTAAGCCAGATATCAACACTTAGAACAAGTGCATGGGAGATCCCCACATAGGTACCTAGTGGTTCCGAGACGCTCTTGAGGTCGTAAAAAAAAAAAGCTGATGAAGGTCCTCAAGGGACTCTTTAGATTTGAGTCCTCTAAATGTCCAATGAAATGCAGGTTTAACATATTTCGATATCTTTCGATAAGATGCCTCGACATTTCTCAACAAGATGCATTACTCAGCAGAGAATTTATCGACAACACTTGGTAAATGTCAACATCTGCGTAGCATGGTTCAGCAAATGACGACATGCATTCCAAGTGCTAGACGAAATCTCCAATTGATTAAAAAAATAAAAACCTTGCATGTAGCGTGCTATATTTGTTAAATAAGGAAGATCATTACACTAATAACCCTCAGAATTTTGAATTTTAAATCTGCTACTGAACAAGTTACTACAAGTTTTAAACACTTTCACCACAAACATCAACAAAAATGTTGAGTTTTATTTGATAGAAAAAAGAGAACGAAACAACGAAATAAAGGCAAACAACAAACAAGAAATGCTCAACCCTCACGCCCTATGAGAAATGTCTCCAATGAAGGCCTTGATGTTGGCATGAGATGATCCACCTTCTGCAATGGCATCATGACATAACTGCTTAAGTTCTCTAGCTCTCCTCCTCATTTCCTTCCCTTCATCATCCTCTAAATCCATAAACTTCTTCATTAAGCCTGCAATCTCCTCTTTTGTCACCAAATGGTCAATTTTGTCCTCAATCTTCCTCACCCTCCACCCAACCTTCCAATCCTCCACAATCTGTTTACTATTCATTCCTTGATCGTAACCTATAGGTAAGGTAAGAAAAATAACACCAGCAGAAACACCTTCCATAACCGAGTTCCAACCACAGTGACTCAAAAACCCCCCAATACTAGAATGACGCAAAACCCTCAATTGGTCACACCAAGGCACTACCAACCCCATGTCCCCACACGCCTCTTTTAACCTTTCGGATTCTCCGCGAGCCGCCCAAATGAACCGAACGCCGCTGTTGCGCAAACTAGCAGCGATCTCATCAATTTGGGCGCTAGAAAATGAAAGGAAACTTCCCATGCCGATGTACAAAACTGAGCTACAAGGTTGGGAGTCTAGCCATTGGAAGTAGCTATCATCACTAGTAGCTGGGTTAGGGAGGTCATTTTTCTTGGAGTAGGGTATTGATGGGCCCATAGTGTAAATGGGTAGTGATAATTCTGATCGTAAAACGTCGATGGTTAGGGTTTCAAGTTCATAGAAGGTGGCAGCGAATAACAGGTATTGTGCTTTAGGTACCCAAGATAAGAGGTTTAAAAAAAAGTCTACATTCTTTTGGTTGCTTTCATAAGCAAGCAGGTCCGCTAGTCGTGTCGAAGAAACTCCTGGAATGTAGTCCACACGTTCGTTTCCTTTCTCTGCTAACAATGCAAAGTGGTTATCGTAAGTAGCAATGTTACACAATAAATAGGAAATCTTAAAACAAAGTGTTAAACAACAGAAAGATCTTAGTACTCAATAAGATCTTAAAAGCAATGTTATCTTGATAGACTCGTACTAAAGGCAGAGGCAGCTATATATACTGCCATGGTTTACACTCCAACCCTTGTTTTAAATGAAGAAAAAAGAAAAATAAGAATGGTACTAACATTTCAACCCGCTTGTTATCATGAAAAATGTAAACCTTACATCGGAAACTTCGAAATAAAGACTTGCATATTGAAAGATTTTATTTCTAATTGCACAGTGAAACCTTTTATATTAAAGCTTAACACTTACTGGATTTTATAAGTGGTTAAATAATGACAACTTTAATGTGATTAGTGAAACACATGACCAAATATGAAATCTTGACACTTAATACTCACTCCGAGCCACAACAAAAGAAAAATATTTAGAAGGTTTTTGGAACGTTTAGCCCAAATGGTGATGGTGAGTGAAAAATGAGTCATGATTAAGATTAGGTGCAGTGTTTATGTCATAATATCAATATAATATGTAGTGCCAGTGTGCCACTATGCAATTCGTTGATGTGCATAGATTGGCTTGATTCATTTTTGCATGTGTTGTCCAATTTCATAGTGGGACAACATAAATATTTGTAGTTAGAGACAATTATTGTAGCTGTGACTGTCGGTACACAATAATTTCTAGTTACAGACACTCACCTAACAGGTTAGCTGGGAAGTGCTCATTCTGCGAGAAAAGGTGAAAATGCTGATACAGTGAAAACCAGGAGGAGGCGGACATTGGCCAAAACGACGCCGCTGGGATATTCCTTCGGTTTCCGACAGCAACTGCCCAATGCAGTATAGTGTCAGCTACTATCAAACTAGGCGGCTGCTCCAGCTGATCTAGGAGGAGCTCGAACGGCTTTTCCATTTTGGTCCTGACGGCGTCCAAGAAGGCATCCATGTCGGCAACACGGACATGCTCCGATGGGATTACGTTGGGAATGGCAGTGAACCGAATGCTGTCGGGTTTGGAGTCGGAGCCGATGAGGCCAAGCCACTCTTGTGTGAGGACGAAGGTGACGAGAATGTCTTTCTCTTGTGAAGCAAGCAACTTGCAGAAGTTCATCAGTGAGTAAATATGGCTTCGGCTTGGGTGAGGCACTGCCACCACGTGGTAGACACTGGTTCGTTGTTGTTCACTGGTGGAATCCATGTCCGAGTTCTTTGACAAAGCAATGTAGTTATGGAAGCATTTGCGCAGGTGAGGGGATTGTAACTGGCTTTGAATAACCTAAGTATCCCTTGTGGTTCCAATTCACTAGCCTTAGGGTACCGTTTGGTACGTAGACGGGACGAGACGGGACAGGACGTGACAGAATGAAGGTTCCTTGTTATGTTTGGTATGCGCAGGACGAAACGGGACAATTGTTCCGTTCTGCGTTTGGTACACGCTGGACGGAACGGAAAAAAAAAATTAAATGACTAACTTGCCCATGCATCATCATATGCCTTACAATGAGCACTAGAAAGCCCCAATTAATTAAAAACCAGAAAACTTTCAACAAGCTATCAATCCCAGATTGTCTTGGATGTAAGCTGCACAAAGGTTAAAGGCAGGACCAGTAATTTTCTGGGCAATTTCAGGATTGAACACAATCTGACTTCGATGATCAATCTGGTCGAAGATAATGAAATTCTTCGGGCAGATGCTAGAGGTTTGAAATTCAACACCATGGAAAGGTTTGAAGTTTACGTCTTCAATTCCAAATCAATAGTAAATGCCCTCACTCTTCCACAGGAAAAACTAAATGGAAACAAAATCCCAAAGTTAATCAAACATTATCCAACACTTCGCACAATAAAGACACAAAGAAAACCCAATTAGTCTAACGAATCAAAATTTTTTAAAAAAAAAATGAAGACTATTTCATTAGTCTAACAAAGCAAAAGCTCATTAGTCATTACTAAACTGGAATCTAATCAAATCACAACACAAAAATCAAATTAAAATGATTTATTAATTTGAGTTGTTTCCTAGCAACATAAACAGAAGCTAATTACACAGAAACACTCAGAAAACAAACAATCAGTAGAATTACAAATTACTTGAACAATTAATCCCAATTCAAAACTCTAGATTATGAATCCAAACCAAATTAGATCATTTATTATATTGTATCATCCAATGAAATCAATAGGAACTACCTCAAAAGCAAACAAATCAACCTTCAAGCCCCTTAAAAACCAAAACCCAGAAAAAGTTACAGCAGAAAAATGTAAAGATCAAAACTTTGAGAGCAAAACCTAGGTTTTAAGGAGATGGCAGATTAGAACCAGATTATCGATTGCAGAGGATCAGATAATATTGTGAAAAAAAAAAAAAAAGAGATTGGAATTGGATGCAGAGATCGAACCTGGAGATGCAGAGCTTTGAGTTCCACTCCGTGGGGAAGAGAAAAGAGAGCCTACGGGAGAGGACGAGGAGGAAGGTTGTGAGATACCTGGGAAATGCAAGCGGCAGAGAAAAGGGAAAGAAGATGATAGGGTTTTATTCTGCGATTTGTATGATGTAAATATTGAAAAAGATAAGGGGCATTTTTGTCTTAAAATGTTAAAATTTTGTGTTCCACAGGCGTGGAACGATTCGTTCCAAGGGAAGGAGGTGAAACGAAAAATCAGCCAAATTTTGTCCCGTGGGACAATGCGTTCCACGGTTTTTATGCGCACCAAACATGAAACCGAACGTCTCGTCCCACTGCGTTCCGTCCTGTCCCATGTACTAAACGATACCTAGAGGATAGGTACTTGTAATTCTCTCTCTAGAAAACTCCATTACTGTTCTTCATTGGTTGAAGATTAACAACTGGTACTGTGATATCATGTGCCACGTACTAATATATGCTAGATATTGCTTGGTCTGTCCACTGTCCACACATATCCTTCTCGGAACACGCAATGCGTTAAAAAAATTTTGAGCTTGTAACTGCTTTTGCTTGCAATAATTTGTTGAATTTATGATTTGCATTGTCCTATTTTCAAAGTTTCATTATTAATGAAAGTGAATGAGACTTGACATATACATTATTAAGTTGCATTTCACTCATCATAAATTCAACAAATTATTGCAAGCAAAAGCAGTTACAAGCGCAAAATTTTCGCTTGCAATAATTTATTGAATTTATGATGAGTGGAATGCAACTTAATAATGTATATGTCAAGTCTCATTCACTTTCATCAATAATGAAACTTTGAAAATAGGACAATGCATATCATGTTTGTCTACAAGTGATGAGTTGGGAATCCAACCTATGGGAACCTTTTCTCCTGACCTGCTACTCCATGAGTGCTGATCACATACTTCAACTCCAAGCGTATTGACTGCAATTGGCAAAAAAATAAAAAAATAAAAAAATAAATTAGGTTGGGGCGTGCGATTGGAAAAAAAATTAGGTGGACGCGTGGAACATCTATCGATTAGGATACACCACGTGTGGGATCAGACGTATATACTCAATGCTGATGTGTAGACTTGCTAGTCTTGTAGATGGGGAGAGAGTAGGAGGTAACACTAGATCAAAGAGTTTTTTTTGTTCATCATTATAACTATGTTGTATGATTATTATACATCTCATCATTTATCACGTGTCTTTTCACTTAATACTAAATTTTTTTTTTAAATTGGAAATAAACATTCGATAGCATGTGGTCCAATATTTTAGTAGATATGATGTTGAGTTTCTACTCATGCGTTATGGGTTCAAAACTTCCCTTCCTTAAATTATTGTAATAGTTTTAAACCTCCCCCCTCCCATTAATAATAATAATAATTTTCTTTTAAAAGAAGAAAGAAAAGGAACATTTAACATTAAAACTAACTAGTTAGGTGAAATGACACATGACAAATGATGAGATGCATGGTAAGCATATGTCGTAGTTTGTGGTAGTGAGAAAAAAAAATGCTCTTTTACATCAGGGTTAAAGGGGGCGAACAAAAATAGACAATTGTGTCTTGAGAAAGCATATTGGCGGACATTTGGATAAGAGGGGGTTAGGAGATCATATATTTACACCACATTGGTGTATAATCACATTGGTGAGTGATGCATAGAATCAATATTCAATGAGATAAATTCATTAATTGACGTAGCATGTACACATCAATTGCTCCAATCCCCCCTCACTTTTTTCGGCTTCAAATGGAACCGTACTTTTTCTTTTAGAACAAGTGCATGGGCGGATCCACATAGGTACCTAGTGGTTCCGAGACGCTCTTGAGGTCGTAAAAAAAAAAAAGCTGATGAAGGTCCTCGAGGGACTCTTCAGATTTGAGTCCTCTAAATGTCCAATGAAATGCAGGTTTAACATATTTCGATATCATTCGATAAGATGCCTCGACATTTCTCAACAAGATGCATTACTCAGCAGAGAATTTATCGACAACACTTGGTAAATGTCAACATCTGCGTAGCATGGTTCAGCAAATGACGACATGCATTCCAAGTGCTAGACAAAATCTCCAATTGATTAAAAAAATAAAAACCTTGCATGTAGCGTGCTATATTTGTTAAATAAGGAAGATCATTACACTAATACCCCTCAGAATCTTGAATTTTGAATCTGCTACTGAACAAGTTACTACAAGTTTTAAACACTTTCACCACAAACATCAACAAAAATGTTGAGTTTTATTTGATAGAAAAAAGAGAACGAAACAACGAAATAAAGGCAAACAACAAACAAGAAATGCTCAACCCTCACGCCCTATGAGAAATGTCTCCAATGAAGGCCTTGATGTTGGCATGAGATGATCCACCTTCTGCAATGGCATCATGACATAACTGCTTAAGTTCTCTAGCTCTCCTCCTCATTTCCTTCCCTTCATCATCCTCTAAATCCATAAACTTCTTCATTAAGCCTGCAATCTCCTCTTTTGTCACCAAATGGTCAATTTTGTCCTCAATCTTCCTCACCCTCCACCCAACCTTCCAATCCTCCACAATCTGGTTACTATTCATTCCTTGATCGTAACATATAGGTAAGGTAAGAAAAATAACACCAGCAGAAACGCCTTCCATAACTGAGTTCCAACCACAGTGACTCAAAAACCCCCCAATACTAGAATGACGCAAAACCCTCAACTGGTCACACCAAGGAACTACCAACCCCATGTCCCCACAAGCCTCTTTTAACCTTTTGTATTCTCCGCGAGCCGCCCAAATGAACCGAACGCCGCTGTTGCGCAAACTAGCAGCGATCTCATCAATTTGGGCGCTAGAATATGAAAGGAAACTTCCCATGCCGATGTACAAAACTGAGCTACAAGGTTGGGAGTCTAGCCATTGGAAGTAGCTATCATCACTAGTTACTGGATTAGGGAGGTCATTTTTCTTGGAGTAGGGTATTGATGGGCCCATAGTGTATATGGGTAGTGATAATTCTGATCGTAAAACGTCGATGGTTAGGGTTTCAAGTTCATAGAAGGTGGCAGGGAATAACAGGTATTGTGCTTTAGGTACCCAAGATAAAGCGTTTAAAAAAAGGTCTAGATTCTTTTGGTTGCTTTCATAAGCAAGCAGGTCCGCTAGTCGTGTCGGAGAAACTCCTGGAATGCAGTCCACACGTTCGTTTCCTTTCTCTGTTAACAATGCAACGTGGTTGTCGTAAGTAGCAAAGTTACACAATAAATAGGAAATCTTAAAACAAAGTGTTAAACAACAAGAAGATTGTTTACTGCTATCACATACGTACAATTCTTAGTACTCACTTAATAAGATCTTAAAAACAATGTTATCTTGATAGACTCGTACTAAAGGCAGAGGCAGCTATATATACTGCCATGGTTTACACTCCAACCCTTGTTTTAAATGAAGAAAAAAGAAAAATAAGAATGGTACTAATAGTTCAACCCTCTTGTTATCATGAAGAATGTAAACCTTATATCGGAAACTTCGAAATAAAGACTTGCATATTGAAAGATTTTATTTCTAATTGCACAGTGAAACCTTTTATATTAAAGCTTAACACTTATTGGATTTTACAAGTGGTTAAATTATGACAACTTTAATGTGATTAGTGAAATACATGACCAAATCTGAAATCTTGACACTTAATACTCACTCTGTGCCACAACAAAAGAAAAACATTTAGAGGTTTTTGGAACGTTTAGCCCAAATGGTGATGGTGGGTGAAAAATGAGTCATCATTAAGATTAAATGCAATGTCATAATATCAATATGTAGTGCCAGTGTGCCACTATGCAATTCATTGATGTGCATAGATTGGCTTGATTCATTTTTGCATGTGTTGTCCAATTTCATAGTGGGACAACATAAATATTTGTAGTTAGAGACAATTATTGTAGCTGTGACTGTCGGTACACAATAATTTCTAGTTACAGACACTCACCTAACAGGTTAGCTGGGAAGTGCTCATTCTGCGAGAGAAGGTGAAAATGCTGATACAGTGAAAACCAGGAGGCGGACATTGGCCAAAACGACGCCGCTGGGATATTCCTTCGGTTTCCGACAGCGACTGCCCAATGCAGTATAGTGTCAGCTACTATCAAACTAGGCGGCTGCTCCAGCTGATCCAGGAGAAGCTCGAACGGCTTTTCCATTTTGGTCCTGACGGCGTCAAAGAAGGCGTCCATGTCGGCGACACGGACATGCTCCGATGGGATTACGTTGGGAATGGCAGCGAACCGAATGCTGTCGGGTTTGGAGTCGGAGCCGATGAGGCCAAGCCACTCTTGTGTGAGGACGAAGGTGACGAGAATGCCTTTCTCTTGTGAAGCAAGCAATTTGCAGAAGTTCATCAGCGAGTTAATATGGCTTCGGCTTGGGTGAGGCACTGCCACCACGTGGTAGACACTGGTTCGTTGTTGTTCTCTGGTGGAATCCATGTCCGAGTTCTTTGACAAAGCAATGTAGTTATGGAAGCATTTGCGCAGGTGAGGGGATTGTAACTGGCTTTGAATAACCTAAGTATCCCTTGTGGTTCCAATTCACTAGCCTTAGGGTACCGTTTGGTACGCAGACGGGACAGAATGAAGGTTCTTTGTTATGTTTGGTATGCGCAGGACGAAACGGGACAATTGTTCCGTTCTGTGTTTGATACGCGCTGGATGGAACGGAACCAAAAAATTAAATGACTAACTTGCCCATGCATCATCATATGCCTTACAATGAGCACTAGAAAGCCCCAATTAATTAAAAACCAGAAAACTTTCAACAAGCTATCAATCCCAGATTGTCTTGGATGTAAGCTGCACAGAGGTTAAAGGCATGACCAGTAATTTTGTGGGCAATTTTAGGATTGAACACAATCTGACTTCGATGATCAATCTGGTCGAAGATAATGAAATTCTTCGGGCAGATGCTAGAGGTTTGAAATTCAACACCATGGAAAGGTTTGAAGTTTACGTCTTCAATTCCAAATCAATAGTAAATGCCCTCACTCTTCCACAGGAAAAACTAAATGGAAACAAAATCCCAAAGTTAATCAAACATTATCCAACACTCCGCACAATAAAGACACAAAGAAAACCCAATTAGTCTAACAAATCAAATTTTTTTTAAAAAAAATGAAGACTATTTCATTAGTCTAACAAAGCAAAAGCTCATTAGTCATTACTAAACTGGAATCTAATCAAATCACAACACAAAAATCAAATTAAAATGATTTATTAATTTGAGTTGTTTCCTAGAAACATAAACAGAAGCTAATTACACAGAAACACTCAGAAAACAAACAATCAGTAGAATTACAAATTACTTGAACAATTAATCCCAATTCAAAACCCTAGATTATGAATCCAAACCAAACTAGATCATTCATTATATCGTATCATCCAATGAAATCAATAGGAACTACCTCA